TCCACCTATTGGTTAATTTAGAACTGATTTTTGTCTCTTAGATTGTTGTCCTTTCCCGAACCTCCGATTAGCAAGGTTGGCTACATACGGTATCAAAGAACTTCAACATACATATATCCACATATATAGCTATCTATCTAACTATAGAACATACCTTACCAACCACCCACCTATCCACTTACCTATCCACGTATTTGCCTACCTACCAACCCACCTAACTACACATCTGCCTACCCACCAATACTCCCACCTACCCACACGAAGATCAAACAATCAATTGATCTTTATTTTACGTGTCAATATCGCCCTCAATTATGAGGCATCGGTGTGCACGTTACAGCAGAAAGCGAGCGGTGCCGGAGGCATAGAGCAGCAAACGAGGAATGAAGAAAGAAGCCGTCAAGACCTCGGCGGCGAACGCCGACTGAGCGAATGAAATCGCAGTCCTGCGTGCAAAAGTGCAACCATTGCGCAACGAATCGCATGAACGAAATACATAGAAAAAGAAAACAAATAATAACTAAAGAAACACATTAAAAATTACATTTTAGATTTTATGGGAAGACAAGTCTGAATAGGTGCGTCTTACACAGACAATTGAACTGGGAGACCCTGGGCGCGTTTCGAATGTCTGATTATTGGGGCTGCACTCGAGAAAGCTTCGGGTGAACAATCCCTGGGGTGGGCAAGTGTCGCCTTTCCAGTGGATCGAAGGAGTGTGCAGAATGTGCCTGAGGATTAGAGGGAGATGCGGTTGTGCAGGTAGCTAAAGGAGCCATGCGGTGCTTCGTTAGGTGAGAAGAGCGGCAACCTTGAGTTGGATGACCGGTGCCAAAGGGGCATTGAGAGGCTGCGCTGTAGAGCCCAGCATCTGCTCAGCCACGAGACCGTTTGGGACGGAGTAGAGGGAGCATCTACCGCACGACAATGGAGATCTGTGAGCATGTTGGATGTCACGTGTGGACATGGTTGAGAACGTCTTGATGGCCTCGCTGCCATGCTGCTCGACAAAGCAACTGGCAGCTGCACCTCGTCGTCATCATACGATGCAGTGATTCTTGCTACGGTCAGCGGCGCTTACAGTGGGACACCCTGAGATGCACCAGAACTTCACGAACGGATGCTTTCTCTCTCTGCGGTTTTGCAGGTAGAAAGGGGCCATGCCATGCAACAACTGCTCCGTGGCAAACACGGCACGTGAGGGTTGGGTGGTCAACACCACGCTGGGCCACCTTTCTCTCCCTACTGCTGATGTAGTTACACACCGCAGTGTGTCCTCGTGTACCCCGCACTAACCCCTCGTGGCAACAGAGAAACCCAACACCGGAGTCTCTCCTCCTCCTCCACCTTCAAAGAGCCTCGCAAGGCGGCATGTCATCTCGATGCCGCCGTCCACGAGGCCCCACCGAGGCCGTTCACGCAGAGCGTAGTGACCGCGGGCGAGGAGGCAACCGCACAGTGGAACTCGGGGCGCCGGGCCACGGCGAGAGGGAGACATTGGACAGCCCCCCCCCCGCTCCATTTCTCACACCGTAAGGGCCTCCTACCCAACCACACCGTTGGCCGTGAGACCTCAGCGAGGGTTCGCCGGAGGCCACCGTGAACCCAGAAGACCAGTGCTGGGATCGGGCCAGACTGCGATCACGCTCCGCGGACAACAAAGACAACCCCCCCCCGTCACTCCGTGTTGCCAACACGGGGCTGTTGGGGCAAGTGTTTGTGGTTAGGAAGTGGCAAAAAACTGTTAAGGCCAGCACGGCGCACGAATGGGGGGTGGGTGGCCAGCATCACCCCTTTCTCAGCCACCTTTGTCTCCCGAGTCCACTTAGGGAAGGCCATGATCATTTCACAAATTCGTTGCTGGGTGTTGGCTCTGGGCTGGACTCGAACGCGGGGTCGCCGGGTTCTCAACGCAGTGTGCTAACCGTTGCGCCACCGCTCCCCACACGCACAGCCGATAAATCAGCCGCTCGAAAATCGCGTGGTGACACGGCGCAGTGAGGGGGTGAGCGGCGGCGCGTGTGCATTCACACAAAAACGCACTCACACACAGAGACAAAGATCTCCCGTGCAGCCTTAACAGACTGGAGGGGCAAGTGCTGTTAGCGAGCACCCACGGCACGGCACGGCACACGAGGGGATGGGTGGCCAGCACCACGCCCGGCCGCCTTTGTCTCCATCGTGACGATGGTTTGAGGCCCCAGACTTGTTCAGATAATCGTCACGGGTGTTGGCCTTAAGCAGGAATAGAACTCGGATCGCCGGGTTCGTAGCGCAGCGGCGCGCTAACCACTACACTCCCGCCCCGAGTTATATGCGCGCACTCCCACTCACACACGCGAGCACACAACAGCAACCTCCGTTCACCACTAAGTAGCGGCAACGTCAACCACGGCGCTTGTGCCAAGCTAGGTGCACCTTGAGGCCACGTGAAGTGTCGAAGGCTCGCTGCTGATAGGAGACCACGGAACAAGACCCAGGTACCACGAGTTGACCGACTGAGATGACCGGCAGATGCACCACCTGTGCTGCCCACTGTGCCGCCTCGCTGCGTTTTAGCCGCCCGGCACTCCGCCCATTGTTGTGAGCGTCACTCCTCCACCCTCCGTTGTTGCTGGAGGGCGACTACCTGCAACTGTCTAGGAGGATCCTTCCCGAACCTCCCATACAGAAGCAACACTCCATCCCATACAGATGCAACACTCCATCCCATACAGATGCAAGACTCCATCCCATACAGATGCAACACTCCATCCCCATACAGAAGCAACACTCCATCCCATACAGATGCAACACTCCATCCTCATACAGATACAACACTCCATCCGATACAGATGCAACACTCCATCCCATACAGAAGCAACACTCCATCCCATACAGATGCAACACTCCATCCTCATACAGATACAACACTCCATCCGATACAGATGCAACACTCCATCCCATACAGATGCAACACTCCATCCCATATAGAAGCAACACTCCATCCCATACAGAAGCAACACTCCATCCCATACAGATGCAACAATCCATCCGATACAGATGCAACACTCCATCCCATACAGATGCAACACTCCATCCCATACAGATGCAACACTCCATCCCATACAGAAGCAACATTCCATCCCATACAGAAGCAACACTCCATCCCATACAGATGCAACGCTCCATCCGATACAGATGCAACACTCCATCCCATACAGATGCAACACTCCATCCCATACAGATGCAGCACTCCATCCCATACAGAAGCAACACTCCATCCCATACAGAAGCAACACTTCATCCCCATGCAGATGCAACACTCCATCCCCATACAGATGCAACACTTCATCCCCATGCAGATGCAACACTCCATCCCCATGCAGATGCAACACTCCATCCCCATACAGATGCAACACTCCATCCCATACAGATGCAACACTCCATCCCCATACAGATGCAACACTCCATCCCATGCAGAAGCAACACTCAATCCCATGCAGAACCAACACTCCATCCCCATACAGAAGCAACACTCCATCCCCATACAGAAGCAACACTCCATCCCATACAGATGCAACACTCCATCCCCATACAGATGCAACACTCCATCTGATACAGATGCAACACTCCATCCCATACAGATGCAACACTCCATCCCATACAGATGCAACACTCCATCCCATACAGAAGCAACACTCCATCCCATACAGAAGCAACACTCCATCCCATACAGATGCAACACTTCATCCCAGACAGATGCAACACTCCATCCCAGACAGATGCAACACTCCATCCCCATGCAGAAGCAACACTCCATCCTATACAGATTCAACACTTCATCCCATACAGATGCAAGACTCCATCCCATAAAGAAGCAACACTCCATCCCATACAGAAGCAACACTCCATCCCAGACAGATGCAACACTCCATCCCAGACAGATGCAACACTCCATCCTATACAGATTCAACACTTCATCCCATACAGATGCAAGACTCCATCCCATAAAGAAGCAACACTCCATCCCATACAGAAGCAACACTTCATCCCATACAGATGCAACACTCCATCCCAGACAGATGCAACACTTCATCCCATACAGATGCAAGACTCCATCCCATAAAGAAGCAACACTCCATCCCATACAGAAGCAACACTTCATCCCATACAGATGCAACACTCCATCCCAGACAGATGCAACACTCCATCCTATACAGATTCAACACTTCATCCCATACAGATGCAAGACTCCATCCCATAAAGAAGCAACACTCCATCCCATACAGAAGCAACACTCCATCCCAGACAGATGCAACACTCCATCCCAGACAGATGCAACACTCCATCCCCATGCAGATGCAAGACTCCATCCCATATAGAAGCAACACTCCATCCCATACAGAAGCAACACTCCATCCCATACAGATGGCAATTAGACCGATTGCTGTGCTGCCTTCTCCTGGCAAGCCAGAGTATGGAATTTTCCTCACAATATTTGTGTGTGACCCACCAATCCTCACCTCCACAGTGCTGGACTAGAGCCCACGTGCATCACCACGTCCGCCTGGCTAAATGATAGCCAATGTTGCGATCCATATTTGTTTATAGGTTAGGCCACGTGATGGTGGTGGCTGTACATCTAATCGGAGTTATTGGGCGTGGGTGTCACAGTGGCGAGATGTTAACTACCTCACCTGGTGTGCGGGAGGTCGTGGGTTCGATCCTGACCCTGACGCCTGCTGTATATTTGGAGTTTGCGTGTCTCCCTCCCTCCCCGTGGCCGCGTGGATTTTTCGCCTCCGGTTTTCCCCCCAGCACATTTAGAATCAACGTCACACGGTTGGAGTATTTGTGCTGCCGCTATACATTTCCACACAATATAAGCCACTTCGTTTGAGCTCTCATTTGCGCTTCTGAAAAAGGGCTAACAACATAGCTCAGTGGGCCGGCCTTACCTGGTAAAATAAAAAAAAGGCAATCGTGTTGTTTGGTTCATGGTGTAGTTTAGCACGCACCGCCTCCATCGCGCCTGCCAGCGGGCGTGGCGCGCGCGCCGCTCCTCCTGCACGCGGCCCCACGCCTTGAGCAGCGCCCGCGTCGACGCAAGCGCCGGCTGGAGGCAAAACGTGTGGCCCTTGAAGCGTGACACCACGGTGGTGCTCACCCTGGGGGGCGGGGGAGGGGGGGAGATGGGGGGGGCAAGCACGCACGCACACAGACACCCACAGACACACACAGACACACACACACAGACATATACACAGACACAGACACACAAACATACAGACAAGCACACAGACACAGATACACACAAACACAGACAAACACACAGACACGCAAACGCAGAGACATTACACAGACACGACAAAGACACAAACACAAAGTGTTGTTATTGAGCACCTATGAAGGCCGGCACGGCACTTGAAGTGGTGAGTTGCCAGCATCACGCCAAGCCGCTTTTGTCGCTCCAGTGGCGATGTTTACACATCGTACAAGGGACTCATTTGGGGAGGCCCACGACCGGTTCAGATAATCGTCAGTGGTGTTGGCAGTGAGCGGGAATCGAACTCAGGTGGCCGGGTTCATCGCGCAGCGCGCTAACCGCTGCACCACCACTCCCCACGCACACAGACAACACACAGCCTCTTTCTAATGCAGCACTTTCAGTCGGGAGCTCGGCTCCCTAGCAATGCGGAAGAATTGCGGTGCAGCGACAGAAAAATGGTGCGAGATTGAGATGCCGAGCCGAGTGAGGGGAGAGAGAGGAGAGAGGGGGGAGAGAGAGGAGAGAGGGGGGAGAGAGAGAGAGGGGAGAGAGAGGGGTGATGGAGGAGGCAGGGAGCGGAAGGATGAGGCTGCAGGAGAGATGAGGACGATGCAGCGCATGTGGAGGCAGTGCACGGGGGGAGCGGTGGTGCAGCGGTTAGCACGCCGCGTATATGAACCTGGCGACCCGAGTTCGATTCCCGCTCACGGCCAACACCAGTGACGATATCTGAAAGTCCTGGGCCTCCCCTAGGTCGACTCAGCCTCGAATGAGTATCTGGTGCGCTGTGTGAATATCGCTATGAGGGAGACAAAGGCGGCCCGGCGTGGTGCTAGCTACAAACCGTTTCGTGTGCAGTGCCAGCCTTCATAGGCGTTTGCAAACAGCACATGCCCCAAAAGTGTTTGTATTTGTCTTTGCGCGTGTGGGGAGCGGTGGTGCCGTGGTTAGCGCACTGCCCTTTGAAACCCGGCCACGAGAGTTAGATTTCCGCTCACGACCAATAAAAGTGACAGCGAATATTTGAAACGGCCCTTAGGTCGACTTAGTCTTAAATGAGTACCCTCATTTGTGAAAAAAACATCAGCACTCTGGATACAAAGGCGGTCGGGCGGGAGGCGTGGTTCTGGCTACACTATGTATGTATGCACGTTGAACTTCTTTCACACCGTACGCAGTCAACCGTGCCAATAGTGTGCCGTTCCGGAATTCGAAGGTTTGCTACTCGCTGACAGAAACTTGCCCCCCGCCAGCCCCAACAGTCTGTGAAGGAGGCTATACGGGGCACCTTTGTCTGTGTGTACACGTGCGTGCGTGCGTGCGTGCTGCTCACTCACATGACCTCGAGGTCGCAGTGCGGCGCGAGGCGTCTGCGCTCGACCAAGCGCAGCTCGTTGGGGAACACGGCCCTCGGGGCGCGCTGGCAGCGGCAGGCCCCGCGGCGGATCACTGCGCGGTCACAGAGGGGAGACGATAAGACAAAGATCCTCCGTGTAGCCTAGTAACGGACTGTTGGGGCAAGTGCTGTTTCCCGTGCATCTATGAAGCCGGCACGGCACCTGAGGGGGTGGGTGGCCAGCACCACGCCCGGCCGCCTTTGTCTCGCATCGCACCAGGTACTCATTTGAGGCTGGGTCGACCTAGGGGAGGCCCAGGACCAGTTCAGTTAATCGTCACTGGTGTTGGCCTGAGCGGGAATTGAACTCGAGTGGACGGGTTCGCAGCACAGCAGGCAAACCACTACACACCCACTCCCCATGCTCACACACACACACACACGCGTCACACAGGGATACACAGGTACACGTGCTGTGGGGTGCCCCGGTGGCTAGGAGATGTTAACTACCTCGCCTGGTATACAGGGGGTCGTGGGTTCGATCCTGGCCCTGACCCCTGCTGTATATTTGGAGTTTGTGTGTCTCTCTCCCCGTGGTCGCGTTTCCCCCTCTACATTTAGAAACACGCGTTTAGAGTATGTGGCCGCTATACATTTCTACATGATAAGTCACTTCGTTGAGCTATGATTTAGTGAGGGTCGCCTTGTGGATGTATATCATTGCAATGTATATGACTACATAAACGCTCCCTCTGGTCTTCGCAGCTGATAGGCTCACCATGACATCGCCTTTACTGCTCTATTTAAGACCGAAACAGGAAGACTTCGTCACAATTCTGTCAAATCGCCTGATGAAACTGGTTGTAATCACCAGCGAAACGTCGGACTCGTAAATCTTGTGGGTTTGCTCTCCAACACACCGGTGTGCTGAACTCGCAACTCATCGGCACGTTTGGTTTGCGTCACGAATCTTACTAACTGGCTGTGTCTCGGGTGGCGGCGGGTTTAACGACACATTTATATTCACGCGATCGAACCCATTTATTTTATTATGGATAGTATTAGTCGCGAAAGGCAACTACTACGTGTTAAACTGGCGTATCGTGGAGGCCACAAACGCCACCCCGCGTATTCGAGTCTCGGGATGATGACTCGTGGAGGAGGCCTCATTGAGACCATGGAATGCGGTGGGAGTTGTTTCTCACTCAAAGACCCATAGACTCACACAGACACCGACATATATACACAGAAACCCATAGACTCACACAGACACTGACAGATATACACAGAAACCCATAGACTCACACAGACACCCACAGATATACACAGAAACCCATAGACTCACACAGACACCCACATATATACACAGAACCCCATAGACTCACACAGACACCCACAGATATACACAGAAACCCATAGATTCACACAGACACCCACAGATATACACAGAAACCTATAGACTCGCACAGAGACCCGCAGATATACACAGAAACCCATAGACTCACACAGACACCCACAGATATACACAGAAACCTATAGACTCGCAGAGACCCGCAGATATACACAGAAACCCATAGAATCACACAGACACCCACAGATATACACAGAAACCTATAGACTCACACAGACACCCACAGATATACACAGAAACCCATAGACTCACACAGACACCCACAGATATACACAGAAACCCATAGACTCACACAGACACCCACAGATATACACAGAAACCCATAGACTCACACAGACACCCACATATATACACAGAAACCCATAGACTCACACAGACACCCACAGCTATACACAGAAACCTATAGACTCGCACAGAGACCCGCAGATATACACAGAAACCCATAGACTCACACAGACACCCACAGATATACACAGAAACCTATAGACTCACACAGACACCCACAGATATACACAGAAACCTATAGACTCACACAGACACCCACAGATATACACATAAACCCATAGACTCACACAGACACCCACAGATATACACAGAAACCCATAGACTCACACAGACACCCACAGCTATACACAGAAACCTATAGACTCACACAGAGACCCGCAGATATACACATAAACCCATAGACTCACACAGACACCCACAGATATACACAGAAAGCTATAGACTCACACAGACACCCACAGATATACACAGAAACCTATAGACTCACACAGAGACCCACAGATATACACAGAAACCCATAAACTCACACAGACACCCACAGATATACACAGAAACCTATAGACTCACACAAATATTCATAGACGCACACATAGACCCATAGACTCACACATAGACCCACACTCACTCAAATATTCATAGACTCGCACAGAGACCCATAGACTCATGCAAAGATTGAGTGACTCACATAGACACCCATTGATTTTGCATAGAAACCCACGGGCGCATGCTGCTCGTGCAGCTTCCCAGGAGAATCGATCTGGTGGAAGCTCCGCACCGATTCAGCACCAATTACCACCACTAGCACCACCATCACTAGCACCAACACCACGAGCACCACCATCACTAGCACCGTCACTAGCACCACCATCATCACTAGCACCATCCATCACTAGCACCACCATCACTAGCACCATCATCACCAGCACCACCATCACTAGCACCACCACCACTAGCACCACCATAACTAGCACCACTAGCACCACCATCACTAGCACCAACACCACGAGCACCACCATCACTAGCACCGTCACTAGCACCACCATCATCACTAGCACCATCACCACCATCACCAGCACCACCATCACTAGCACCACCATCACTAGCACCATCATCACCAGCACCACCATCACTAGCACCACCACCACTAGCACCACCATAACTAGCACCACCACCACTAGCACCACCATCACTAGCACCAACACCACTAGCACCACCATCACTAGCACCATCACTAGTACCACCATCACCATCATCACCATCACCACCATCACCAGCACCACCATCACTAGCACCATCATCATTAGCACCAGCACCAGCACCACCATCACTAAAACCACCATCACTAGCACCATCATCACTAGCACCACCATCACTAGCACCACCACCACTAGCACCACCATCACCAGCACCACCACCACTAGCACCATCATCATTAGCACCACCACCATCACCAGCACCACCATCACTAAAACCACCATCACTAGCACCATCATCACCAGCACCACCATCACTAGCACCACCATCACTAGCACCACCACCACTAGCACCACCACCACTAGCACCACCAGCACCACCATCACCAGCACCAGCATCACCAGCACCACCATCACCACCATCACCAGCATCACCAGCACCACCAGCACCACCATCACCAGCACCACCATCACCAGCACCACCATCACCAGCACCAGCACCACCATCACCATCACCACCACCACCATCACTACCATCACCACTAGCACCACCATCACCACCATCACTAGCACCACCATCACCATCATCACTAACACCATCATCACTAGCACCACCATCACCATTACCACCAGCACCACCATCACCAGCCCAACCAGCACAACCATCACTAGCACCACCATCACCACCATCACCAGCACCACCATCACCAGCACCACGAGCACAATCATCACCATCACCACCATCACCAGCACCATCATCACTAGCACCACCATCGCCACCATCACCACTATCACCACCATCACTAGCACCACCATCACTAGCACCACCATCACCACCATCACTACCACCACCATCACCACCATCACTACCACCATCATCACCAGCACCACGAGCACAATCATCACCATCACCACCATCACTAGCACCACCATCACTAGCACACCATCACCAACTATCACCACTATCACCACCACCAGCACCACCATCGTCTAGCACCACCATCACTAGCACTACCATCACCAGCACCACCATCACCACCATCACCACCATCACCACCAGCACCAGCACCACCATCGTCCAGCACCACCATCACTAGCACCACCATCACCAGCACCACTATCACCAACACCACCATCACCAGCACCACCATCACTAGCAGCACCATCACTAGCACCATCATCACTAGCACCACCATCACTAGCACCACCATCACCAGCACTACCACCATCGCTACCACCACCATCGCTACCACTACTATCAATAGCACCACCATCAATAGTACCACCATCACCATCATCACCAGCACCACCATCACCAGCACCACCATCACCAGGACCACACGCTTGCCTTCACATTCCAATCATCACTCCCATTGACATAAACGTATCTTTGATTTATAGGTCAAAGCCAAAATCGGTAATTAATATCTGAACGGGTCCTGGGCCTCCCCTAGGTCGATTCAGCCTCAAATTAGTACCTGGTGCAGTGTAAAATATCGCCACTCGGGAGACAAAGTCGGTCGGGCACGGTGCTGGTCACCCACCCCCTCGTGTGCGGTCCAGGCCTTCATAGGTGCTACTCGATAACAGCACTTGCCCCAACAGTCTGTTGAAGGCTATACGGGGGGTCTTTGTCTTTGCTGCGAGAGTAGCGGTTGGCGAATTTGCCGAAACCGCAGAATGCGTGAGACTTGAAACCTCACAGAGAGTTGTGAGGTTCACAGAGAGTTGTGAGGTTCACAGAGAGTTGTGAGAGTCACAGAGAGTTGTGAGAGTCACAGAGAGTTGTGAGAGTCACAGAGAGTTGTGAGATTCACAGAGAGTTGTGAGAGTCACAGAGAGTTGTGAGAGTCACAGAGAGTTGTGAGATTCACAGAGAGTTGTGGGATTCACAGAGAGTTGTGAGAGTCACAGAGAGTTGTGAGAGTCACAGAGAGTTGTGAGATTCACAGAGAGTTGTGAGAGTCACAGAGAGTTGTGAGAGTCACAGAGAGTTGTGAGATTCACAGAGAGTTGTGAGAGTCACAGAGAGTTGTGAGAGTCACAGAGAGTTGTGAGATTCACAGAGTTGTGAGAGTCACAGAGAGTTGTGAGAGTCACAGAGAGTTGTGAGAGTCACAGAGAGTTGTGAGATTCACAAAGAGTTGTGAGAGTCACAGAGAGTTGTGAGATTCACAGAGAGTTGTGAGAGTCACAGAGAGTTGTGAGAGTCACAGAGAGTTGTGAGATTCACAGAGAGTTGTGAGAGTCACAGAGAGTTGTGAGAGTCACAGAGAGTTGTGAGGTTCACAGAGAGTTGTGAGTTACAGATAGTTGAGTCACAGAGAGTTGTGAGGGTCACAGAAAGTTGTGAGGTTCACAGAGAGTTGTGAGTCACAGAGAGTTGTGAGATTCACAGAGAGTTGTGAAGTTCACAGAGAGTTGATAATTGCTTCTTTACCCTTCTATCTGGCAACAAAACTGACACCTTTTTGCAAGGAGTCATGTTTGCATAGACCGCAATACCTGCAGTCATAATACAAACAAAAGAACATAACTCTGATAATGTGCACATTATCAGAGTTATGTTCTTTTGTTTGTATTATGACTGCAGGTATTGCGGTCTCTGATAATGTGCACATTATCAGAGTTATGTTCTTTTGTTTGTATTATGACTGCAGGTATTGCGGTCTATGCAAACATGACTCCTTGCAAAAATGTGTCAGTTTTGTTGCCAGATAGAAGGGTAAAGAAGCAATTATCATATTTTTACTGGCAAATGAGGTCCCCATAGTGTAGATGCTTTCACAGAGAGTTGTGAGAGTCACAGAGAGTTGTGAGGTTCAAAGAGAGTTGACATGTTCAGAATCAGAATATTGATTCATACCGGAGGAATCAGATTAGCTATAAAGCTCTTTTTAAAAGATGTCCAGTGGTGGTGGGTTAGAACATTACAACCAACGATACCAAAACACGTTAGGAGTGCAAATTATAAGATTGGTAAACAAAGCTCTAATGAAATACAAATAAAAGTGAACGATATATATTTTTTTACCAGCTATTAGCCTCTTTTCCAGAAACGATCTCGCCACAAATGATAGCTCAACGAAGTGGCTTATCATTAAGTGGAAATTCACAGAAGCTAATTGCAGTACTCCAAATCATCAAAACTGAGAGCTGCCATGTTAAGTTCACCGACGTCTATCAACTTGACTGAGAGCTGCCATGTTAAGTTCACCGACGACTGCCACCTTCAGCAGGACGATCGCGCGCAGCAGCAGAAGTCAACCTGGTGGTGGCTGCGTGCGAGAGCGTTTCATGAATGAATTTCACGTGCGAGTGTTTTATGAATGAATGCGTTTCACGTGTGTGAGTACACGTGAGTAGACACGCGTGTGTGACATGTGGGAGAGCGGTAGTGTAGCGCTGCGCTACGAACCCGGCAACCCGGGTTCGATTCCCGTTCACGGCCAACACCAGTGCCAATGATCTGGGCCTCCCCTAGATCGACTCAGCCTCGCATTAGTATATGAGGTTGGTGTGTAGTAAACATCGCCACGTGGTTGCGGCCTTCATAGGTGCTACTCGCTAACAGCACTTGCCCCAACAGTCTGTTAATGCTATACGGGGTCTTTGTCTTTGTACACGCGTGCGAGTGTGTGTACACGCGTGCGAGTGTGTGTACACGCGTGCGAGTGTGTGTACACGCGTGCGAGTGTGTGTACACGCGTGCGAGTGTGTGTACACGCGTGCGAGTGTGTGTACACGCGTGCGAGTGTGTGTACACGCGTGCGAGTGTGTGTACACGCGTGCGAGTGTGTGTACACGCGTGCGAGTGTGTGTACACGCGTGCGAGTGTGTGTACACGCGTGCGAGTGTGTGTACACGCGTGCGAGTGTGTGTACACGCGTGCGAGTGTGTGTACACGCGTGCGAGTGTGTGTACACGCGTGCGAGTGTGTGTACACGCGTGCGAGTGTACTCACCGTACACCGCCTGGGTCACGTGTGCTCCGAGCACGAGTAGCGCGAGGAACGCGGCTGCGGTTCCGCTCGGGGACATCGCGGGTGGCGTTGATTCGATGCGCAACCTGGGACCAGGAGCCCCCTTCCTCTTACCCGTGCCCCCTTCCTCTTACCCGTGCCCCCTTCCTCTAACCCGTGCTGCTACTTTCCTCTTACCCGTGCTGCCTTCCTATTATCCGCGCTGCCACTTGAATTGCTGCTTCTGTGAGCGCGCGCAGCGTCTCTCTGCTCTCCCCCTTCGGCGCGCCGGACGGTAAAGCCGAGCGAGGAGGCGGGGTGATGGCGTGGGGGGAGGAGAGGGGGGAGGGAGGGCGATTGAGGGGGGGGATAGGTGGAAGATGTGATGGGTGTGGGGGTAACGTCACCGATGATTTAACGTCCCTCCTCCTCGTGTAGTGAATCAGTGTGAGCGTGTCAGTCAGTCGGTATGTGAGTCAGTGAGTGAGTGAGCGGTCGTGCAGAATTCCTATGGGGGGATCTTTGTAATGTTGTTGATGGCAGGGGTGGTACTGGTGGTATTGCCAATGCAGTTGCTTGTAGGTTTGTGTTGGTGGTTGTGATGTTCGTGATAGTGGAGGTGGTAGTGATGTCATCGTCAGGTCATTGTTATGCTGATGTGTATACACCATACCAGGTATTAATTTAATGCTGAGTTGACATAGGGGAGGCCCAGAACCTGTTCAGATATTCGTCACTGATGTTGAGCGGGAATCGAACTTGGGTCATTAATCGTAGCGCAGTGCACTAACCACTGCGCCACCGCTCCCTGTTCCAACATTTACACCACGACAACCAACATCAATATCAGCACGCCCAACACCATTGCCATTAACAAAGACAAAGATCCCCCATAGAGCCTTCAACAGACTGCTAGGGCAAGTGCTATTAGCGAGTACATATGATAGCCGCAACGGTACACGAGGGGGTTGGGTGGCCAGCACCACGCCCGACCGCCTTTGTCTCCCCAGTGGCGATGTTTACACACTATACCAGGTACTCATTTAAGGCTGAGTCGACCTAGGGGAGGCCCAGAACCAGTTCAGATAATAGTCACTGGTATTGGCCGTGAACGGAAATCGAACCCGGGTCGTTGGGTTTATAACGCAGCGTTCTAACCGCTACACTACCGCTCCCCACACACAGACACACACAGAGACACACAGACACACACAGACTACAACTATGTGCACGTTGAGGCCACGTGAAGTGTCGAAAGCCCGTTGAGAGGAGGTCACGGGGCAGACCCAGGTGCCACGGGTCGACTGACTTGAGATGACTGGCTGATGCATGACCTGTGCCCCCTACTGTGCCAACTTGCTGTGCTTTAGCCACACGGCACTCCACTCGTTGTTGTGAGCGTCGCTCCTCCACCCCCCGTTGTTGCTGGAGGACGACTGCCTCCAACTGCCCAGTAACGTCCTTCACGAGCCCCCTCCACAGAGGCCGATCTTGACACCGCTGGTACCAGTCATCGGCAAGTCCACTCAGCTCCACGTCCTCCTGTACCACATCACTCCATCTCTTCTCCAGCCCGTGCCGCGCCCATTTAGCCCCCTCGATCCGGCCGAACAAAAGCTGTTTCGGCATGCGGTGGCTGGGCATGCGGGCTACATGGCCCAGCCAACGCAGTCTTGTCTGCCGGAGGTGCTCACCGATGGGACTTTGTCCAGATCTTTCGAGGATTTGTGAGCTCCTCACACAATCCAGCCTGGTTAAACCTAGGATGGATCGTAGGCAGGCCAGCCTAAATGTTTCTAACCGGCGAAGATGCTCCATTAGGGGGGTCCACGTTTCGCAAGCGTAGAGAAGGGAGGGAATGACCGTGGTCAAGAAGACCTGAAGCTTTGTGCGGAGCGACAGACCAGGTAGCTTCCACACAGCGTTACGCAACCGATGAAAACATAATGCCGCTCGACTGATTCGGAGTGAGACCTCTGCTGTTAAGCCGGAGCCGGTCATGAGCACACTGCCCAGGTATGGGAAACTCTCCACTCTCTCCACAACTGCCCCATCACCGATTGGGAGTTGTGTGGGTGGAGTGTCCGATGGTACAAAATACCCAGGCAGGTGCTTAGTTTTGGTGGGGCTGATGGTAAGGCCCCATCTCTTAGTGGCATGCTCCAGTTTCAGCAGCAGCGTCTCCAACTCACACACAGACACACACATACACACGTGTACACAAACCACAAAACCCGCCATTCACCACAAAGTGAAGGCCAGGTGCACTTTGAGGACACGTGAAGTGTTAGAATGCTCGCCGACAGGTCTCGAGACAGATTCAGACAAAACAACCTCCACCACCATCACCATCCGCGCCACCACTGCAACCAGATCTGCCCGAGTCTGCTGCTGTTCGTGCACCACCCCCGGGGCGAACCCAGCCTCGCTCGTCACGTCGCCATCAATCTCCCGCTGAAGCCCCGGCGGGAGTCGGGGGTGGGGGGAAGACTCCGCAGAGACGACGACACGGATCGAGAGACGCCAGCACCATCACCTCCCCGATATCTGCCTCTCCACACAGAGCACGGTTCTGACTACACACCCGCACCATGGACGTCAATGTTTTAAACAAATTGTCCATTTTGTGAGGCATCCCTAACTAGCTAGTTAGTAACTGCAAGCATGAGGTAATTTGTTCTCGCTCGCTGGTTACCCTTGGAAACCCGCATTGTTCATGATCAACGAGGTTAGTTTTATATCGTTCTAGGCTACCGTATGGATTTTAATGTTATCGTATTAATTCTAGATTTGAAGCTTTCGTGACTGCAAGGATTCATATTCTTAGGTTTTTTCGGTAAAGTCACGTAGGTAAAACATCAAAATTAATAAAAATAAAATAAAGATCATGACGTTTCGGAGGCAACACAAGTCTCCGTCATCAGGTGGGACCGTCACAGCCAGATTAGCTGCATCAAGTGAGGCAATGATTCAAGATGCAATCCCTTAAAAGCGAGTTGAGGGGGGAGGAGAGGGGGGGGGGGGAGCTCATCAGAATGTGGTAGCCAATGAATGGAACGTATCGGGAGGGAGGGGGCGGGGCCAAAAGGGTGGGCGACGGCGTGGAAGCGATTGTGCGCAAGAGACAAACTGCTGCACACGCCAACGCATTGGACAGAGAGGGGGGAGGGGGAGGCCTGATACACATGATATAAAAGAACGGAAATGCCATTGTTTATACCAATGCTGGCTGAACAATGAAGAGATTACTGTTAAACACTCGGTAAAGTAAAGTAAAATAGTGCCTGTCAGATAAGATGGTCCAAAAAAGTGTAATTAAGTCTTTTTTGCGTGGTTAATAACATCTTTCCAATGATTACTAAGTTTGTACCCATCATCACGGTTGAAATTATGTCTGTGTTTGTATATTTGTATGGCTTCGTGTACAAACCTTTGATGGTAGCCAGGAGGTTTGCAGAGAACCTTGGTCTCGGAAAAGATAATTTCATGAGAGCCCACCGAGTTGTAGCAATGATCGGCAACGGCCGAAGAATCAGTTCTGCCGTGTTTCAGATCTGACTTGTGCTATTATATACAAACACAGACATAATTTCAACCGTGATGTTTAGGGCCTCTTAATAACATTCTACAGGCCCCGCACGAGCTTAATCCGGCACTGGCTCGCCTGGTGTACAGGAGGTCGTGGGATCGATCCCAACCCTGTCACCTGTATATTTTGAGTTTGTGTGTGTTTCTCTCTTACCCGTGGTTGCGTGGATTTTTCTCCGGGTCCTCCACATTTAGAAACACGCTTTTCGAGTATGTGGCTGCTCTACATTTCCACACGATAAGCCACTTCCTTGAGCTATCGTGTGCGGCCAGGTCAATATATAGCTCAGTGGGCCTCACCTGGTAAAATAATAAAACTGTTTTAGTAAAATAGTTTAGTTTAAATTGCTTCACATCCCGTGCCAAATACTTGTGGATATTCCTCAGCATTCGTGCACCGAGTAATGACTGTAATGTCGCTTCCGTGGAATGTAGGGTGGCAGGGTGGCACAGTGGTAACAACTCTCGCCTGATGTAAAGACGCGCTGGGTGCGATTCCCAACCTAGGCGCCTCTCTGCGTGACGCTTGCATGTTCTCCTGTTAGACATGGGCTCCCTCCGGGTTCTCTGGTTACCTCCCATAGCTAGCAACGCACACACGCACGCATTGGCCAAACACCCCAATGGCTCAAACAACACCTGCAGATTGATTATTAGAAAATTAGCACGGTTGGCTACGTACGGTGCGAAAGAAGTGCAACATACATAAATACTATCAAGAATGAATGCTACTGCAACAACTTGGCAGAACCAGTGGAGTAGTGACGACACTATCAGCTGAAGGCAATCGGTAAGGTGGGGCCCCAATATTTGATTTGTCTCGCACGGTTACACCCAGGTTATTATATATCACGGCTCATCTTGCCTAATCACGTCGTTACATACGTTTTTGTTCTTTTTACACTGTTGTTGAAAACAAATCTCATGGTGGTTGTCAAGGGTTCCCCGACTTATCGCTTTGGCCACCGTGGGGGGGGGGGGGGGGGTGCAATGCACCTTCTGATTCTGCCTGCTCCCACACTCGTTGCGCTGCTGGGCAGAAGCCTCCTGAAAAAGAGTCTTGAGACTCAGTGGGGCTTTCCAGAGGGAACACGCGGGACGATGATTAAGATTACGATGACGATCCTCAAGGCGATAGAAGGCGGTGGCAGGCTGGTTGCTGAAGCAAGTAGCTCGCTCGGTACCTGCGCGTGTGCGCGCGAGAGTGAATATATTTAAAGACAAAGGCGGTTCGTGCGTGGTGCTGGCCACCCACCGCCTCGTGCGCCCCTGCCGGACTTCATGGCTGCTTCTCGCCAACAGCAACTTTCCCCAGCACAGTCTGTTAAGACTCTCCGGAGGATCTTTGTCTCGTGAATCTATTATTGACTGGCCGCTGCCCAGGTGCGGTTCGCATAGCTCCTCGCTTCAATCGCGAGCGAGCTCTGCCTCGAGCTCTGCGCGGTACAGCTACAAAGGTCTCCCTGCCTTTTACTGCACCTCGATTCTTCTTTCCATTGTGGAAATGTTTTTGTTCTTGTGGATTTAATTGTTACCGCCAGGGCTTTGTGGTGGTGACGAACTTTCCACTGGGACCGCAAAGGGCAGGCGGTTGGGCCCTTGGCGCAAGGAATGAAAGCCCTCTGTGGAGCGGTGAGTGGCTCCTGTGGAGCGGTGAGTGGCCCTCTGTGGAGCGGTGAG